ACAGCAAACCCCCCCCCCCCCCCCCCCCCCCAAAAAAAATTAGCCCCTCGACAATGCTACAAAGAGCTGAAATGCAACAGTCTGGTATATTTATTTTTCTTTCAAATATCTGACAAAACTATTCTGTAAAAGGAAATGATGCTTTGGCACACTTTTAGTTCTGAGCACAGCAAATCACACACAATCACGTAACACAAAGACCTACAAAAATGGGGATAATATTATGGATTATGCATAATGATTTCCATCTGTAGCCATTGTTTGGGATAATACTCATCACTGTGCCTTTGCACTCCTATCAGCTCTCTATTCCAAAAACACAGCTGCACTTCCAATGATTGATGCTGCACTAAAGCCAGAAAACATCTTAGCAACAGCAAGCAAGTATCCTCGCTCCCCAGGCAAAGAAGGGCCCTGGTTCTCTAATATCCACATCGTGTTTATTTTTAGTTGCTATGTCCACATCTGATTCAAAGAAGCAGGCAATGTGACAAATCCCTGCATGATCAATCAGCCAGGGGCCCAAGAGACATAAATAGAGCAACCAATCTGGAAAATTAAACCAAGACTTGCTTCGAAAGAGAGGATGGCCGCCATTTTTAAAGTTTAATGTTTCCCCATCCTCAGGCAGCTCTCCAGCACTCAGAAAAGGAATCGACTTCAAAAGCAAAAAGGCAAGAGAAAAGAAAGTCTAGATTCTTAGTAATCAAATATCTGTAATCCTAGTTCCATTCTCAGAAAGGTATCAGCTCGGTCTGCAGAAAGGATCTAAAAAGATGGCACAAGATCACATAAAATAACTTTGCATCCTCATCTGTCCATGAGAGGACAACTCTACTTTCAAAAACTCCCTGAAGGAGAAAAGAAAGATATGCTCAGTATTTACTAACTCTCTGATCAGTGTTTTGCAGGCATTCAACAGGTAACTCTAGGGATCGATGGAAGAGAATCATGGTATTTTGAGTATTGACTATTACATTAGGACTTCAATGGAATTCCCAAATACCCTTCAGGACATGGTCATGTCACACATTCCCCTACCCTGGCTTTGGCCTTTATCCAGGACTGTTCACTGAGGAAATAGCCTCTCCCCCAGACAGCCACCAAACAGCAAAGCATAGCTGAATCTCTCTTGTACTTTCTCTGGGCATATGGTTTTAAACTCTCAATTAACAAAACTGTAACCACACATAATAATGTTCTTATCTTGGGACCAGCAGATGGCATAGTGGTTTCATCGTTGGATTCCCACATGGCTGACCATGGTTCAAGTCCCAGACCCAGTGGCCTGAAAATCACACTGGGCTCATGTACATGCATGCCCAAGGTCCTGGGAGATGAATAGAGGAGAAGGGATTGCAGCATGGCCATTCTCCCCTCATTGGGGATGATTTCTCACTTTCCCTCTCACCATCTCTGTCTCTCTGGAGAGTGTACATGCCCTAAGGCCAAAAAAATCTCTAAAAAACAAGAATAAAAAATAATGTTCTTATCCTTGAAACTTTCCTTTAAGCTGCTGCAAGTTTTTAAAAAGCAAAAGGTGGGACCAGCAGGTGGCATGTTGGTTAAGTCACTGGACTCCCACATGGCCGATGGCAGTTCAAGTCCCATACTTGGCGGTTTGTTTTCTCACTTTCTCCTTCTCTCTCTCTTTCTCTCTCTCTCTCTCTCTCATGCATGCCCTGTAGCAAATTAAAATAATACTAATAAAAATTAAAAATTAAATAAATAACTCCTTTTTAAAAAGTGGGGCCAGCGGATGGCATGGTGGTTACATCACTGGACTCTCACACTGCCAACCATGGTTCGAGTCCTGGACCTGGTGGCTTCAAACTCTCACCAGGTGCATGTGCGTGCGTGTCCAAGATCCCAAGAGGAGAATGGAGGAGAAGGAATTGTGGCATAGTCATCCCCACTGAAGGGTGATTTCTCGCTTTCTGACTCTCTGTCTCTCTCTGTCTCTCTGACAAGCACAAGCACCCTATAGCAAAAATCTCTCTTAAAAGCAAAAGGTAAAACTCTAGCTTGTACATTTTCAGTCTGAATGTTTCTGCTGGTCACACACCAAATTCAATAGTGAAACTTTATTGGAGAATTAATCAATAATGTGTCTGCTATGCAGAGATGTATGTCAAGCAATCACAGAAGAAGTTCTGTTGGTAGTAGCTGGTTAGAATTTGGTGTCCCAAATTGAATTACATTAACACACAGGAAACGAATTAAGAGTTCAAACTGAATGTTTATAGGGGCCAAGAAGACAATGAGAGCAGCCATCCAGCGCAGCAATTTGTTTCCTAATTGTATCTTCGGCTGTATTATCTAAATATAGAAATGTTTTGTATATTAAATTAAAAATTACTTTTTCCTTTCCACAAAGAAAAACGTGCCTCCCCTTTTAAGACATGTGACCCTCTACAAAGTGAAGGAAAACTCCTTTGTTTTTCCATATTTGATAGAGACCTGAATATAATGAATGCTTCAATTTCCTCAATCCATTAGGAAGAACAACATCAGCATAAATGCAATAACAAATAGTAAATGACACTGAGCCACAACATCTAGGCAACACGGGCTGGGCAAGGAGCCCATGTCCCATTTGAAATAGCAGCTGCTGTTTACTGTCCTTCAATGCTGTTCAGCGGAAATACCACGTGAGCCACATACATCACTGTGAATTTTGTAGCAGCCACATGAAAACATAAAAAAAAAGAAAAGAAGCAATGGGGCCAAATGGTGGTGCAGCAGTAAAATGTGACCCTCTGAGAGGCTGACCCGCGTGGGAAGGTTACCGGTTTGTATCCAGACACCTCCTTAAGTATGCTAGATACTGTGTGCCCATGATCCGGTCTGGCTGGGTGTCAAGAACCTGTTGGGATTCCAGTCTCTCTGTCTCTGTCTCTCTTTTCCCTATCAATCTTGCTCATGGAAGAAATAAAAATTTTTTTAAAAAAGAAAAGAAGTAATGAAGTAATGGAACCAGCAGATGGCGTAATGGTTACGTCGCTGGACTGCCCTGTAGTCGACCACGGTTCGAGTACCGGACCCTGTGGCTTAAAACTCATACCCGGCGCGTGTGCATGCGTGCCCAAAATCCCAAGAGGAGAATGGAAGAGAAAGGATTGCAGCATGGCCATCCCCCTGGGCAGAGATTTCTCACTTTCTGTCTCTCTGTCTCTCCAGCAAGCACATGTACCCTATAGCAAAAATCTCTCAAAAAAAAAAAAAGGAAAAAATCTCTCAAAAAAAAAAAAGGAAAAAGAAAAGAAGTAAAATAAGTCAGTCACTTTTAAAAAGACAAATGCTGTATGACTTCACTTATCTGAGTTTATCAAGAGTGATGAAACTTGGGACCAGCAGTTAGCGTAATGGCTATGTCGCTGGACTCCCACATAGTCAACAGCGGGTCACGTCCCGGACCCGGTGGCTTAAAAACTCACACCGGGCGCGTGTGCATGCGTGCCCAAGATCCCGAGAGGAGAACGGAGGAGAAGGGA